AGACACCTGTCTTTTCAAACCAAGACAAGTTGACATTTCATGTAAGGCCACATTAAACATCTAAACCGTCTATCTCCTATAAACCATACGTTTAACAAAATAATCAAATAGACTTTTCACATACACACTGCTGACATTGCCATCCTCAGAGTTCCAAGAGGAGCCTTGAGTGGCTCAGTACAGTTTATAATGTTATGAACATATTTCTTTTTTTCCTCACTGAGTGATCAATATTCCTTTTCAAGTGTATGGCCAGCCCTACAGTTCTGTTTTCTGCTACATACAGTTACTCTTCCATCAGAACCATAGCCTGACCTACTAGTATACCAAAACCTTACCTTTACCCGCACCACACGTCTGGTTTCTCTGAAGTGGTTTGGTGAAACAAACCAGCTCTATTCACAACACAATGTGCAATTAAACTGACAAATTTACTGGAAACCATGGACCTCGCAGACACCAAGCAACTAAACCCTTGTAAATCCTAGGTGTTTGCATGCAGATCAAAAATCTAGTATGATGTTTTCAGCTCTGCATCATTACTCCTCCCCCCCCAGCATTTTACTGAATTACAGCCTGAGTTCCTTTGTTCAAGGGTCAAGTTACCACAAACTGCTACCACTGCTGATTGCCTTAACCGACTACTTTGTAACAAAGACCTGCCCTTCAATCCTCGAATGAAGCACAGAGCCTGCTCAATTGCCTTGGGATAGTACTTCCTTCTATTGAAACACCCTGTAGAAAATAATTCTTTAACAGTAATAACTAACATTTCATTTGAAAACAGCTGCCACAGCTAAAAGGTGTCACTCTTAAATAAAGAGCATTTCCTGCTCTACACACTCACTTCTTAGGTGAAACAGATTCTTCCAACATGGTTGATTCCTCATCACCTTCGAGCCCGAATCGATCTTTACTTTGTTTCTGGAGGGGGGGGGAAACAAAACAAAAAGTTAAACGTGTGTTGCTTTTTGTTCTCCACCATTTCCTTGCCATTTATCTGAAAGCTAGTCAAATAATCTGCAGAGTCTTGTCCGGTGCTGAATACCATGCTTTTTGGCAGTGTACAACAGTGTAACCTCCACGTTGGAAGCGGTGCCCTTCAGCATCTAACAGACCAGGTTCTAAGCCCTGGCAGATTAAGTGCATAAAGGAAAAAAGCCTATTGGTGCCTTTTTGAACAAAGGTATAAAGAAAGTGCTGACATACTGTCTTTTCTCACAGAAAAAAAGTGTTCTGAGGACTGAGCGATATGCAACAACAGCAAATCCCAGCACAGACAGGACATGTACCATCCCTTTTCCCATCCTCTTTTAACTCAGGAACGTCAGGCTGACTCCAGTAACTAGAACTCAGCTACAAGTCATATTTAGCCTCCTGAAATGTTACTATATGGTGCTACCTACCACTACGGAATACATATCCATAGCAGAGATGATAAATTTAATACTGTATTCAAATTATTTTACTATAGTTACTTCAAATTTCTGGACAGTCTGCACATCTGACTTTTTGAGGCAGTTTGGTATAATGGAGTTAAATATACACAAGGGGAGCTAAGCCTAAACCACTAGAAACAACAGAAAACTCCATAAACCATAGAAGTAGTGCCTTGTAAAAACAGTATTTCCACTTGTGACCTAGCGCAAAGATACCGTCTGCTTCCCACCTCGTGTGATTTGTAGTCTGCATATCCTTATATGCATACAGAGAAACATCCACTATGACCATGGGTACATTTAATAGGAACGCCTCATGCACATCCACAGACACACCCCACCCAACTTTCTCCAAAGTTCTTACTATTATAGTTTGAGTTTATGCATAAACTGAAACTGCCTATTTCTTGTCAAGATTGTGCCTTAGTTCCATATTAATGTGAATTAAAAAAAAAATTTAGATTAAAAAATGGGAAAAGTTACTCAAGTTCAGGGTTCCCTGTCAACTGATTAATGATCAATCACTAAAAACGCAGGACAAGAGGGGGTGGGGAGCATTGCACCAATAATACTTTAGCAGAACAAAAATGCACCACCAATCCACACCAGAGCAAATGAGTTACAACAGTCCAAAACACACCAAGAATTAACATCATCCAGCTGAGAGCGATAAACCATACTTTGGGGCATGCAGCAGAGAGATAACTTGGGCTCACAACTGGAAACTGCATGCTTCTCAAACGCATCATGAAGCATCACGGGTGTTTATTACTTAACCTGTTCCTAATTCATTCATTTTAAAACTGGCTGTGTCAGCAGATTGTAAAGAAGAAATCAAAGGACTGGAAAGGAGTGGAAATATGCACATCTGTATTTTATCAAGACAGAAAGGCTCCTTCATTTGGCATTACAGAGCAAAGCTACTTTTGAAGCTTAAGAGCTAGAATAAAGTTTTAAACCATCTATAGAAACCTACAGTTTAACATTTTTAAATCTGAGATTGACAGCCTTGGAGAAAGAGGCATGTACTGTGATAAATTCTGGCGACCCTCCACAACATCTGATTTCATAATACAATGTTACATCCTACACTATTCGCGTGAACAAAGGCAATAAATTCTGAGCTGCTTAGCTTTCTGTCATTACAGCAAATAATGATGCAGTTTAGTTGAACCTTAATAAAGTAAAAGTACATCAAGGAGCAACCAGTGCTATTTGAAATGCCTCACTTTTCCATACAACATACTTAGAGTATGACCATGTTTGTTGGCAAAATTGGTAATTTTTGCTGTGGCACCTATTTGCTTGTGAATATTCCGAATGCTGCAGCTGCCTATCACCCTTTCCTCTCTCCTGCCAGAGATGCTTTTTAAAACCAAATTTCAAGACAGCCTGGCCTCTTCACAAACTGATTTTATCCCTCTCTGCACAACTGAGATAGAATTCTTTGCTTTACTAATCACAGTATTTTTACAGCAATATAATGATTTAATTTATTTTCATTTATTATTTTTGTTTGTTTGTTTTGCCAAAAAAATGTCTCAGCTTTGATGCATTATATACAAGAGCTGTTGGACAACTACTGCGTAGTCCTTAATGTAGTTTTAAATGCTGCTTCCAAGGGATCATTTCTTCCCACCTGATTCACCGCTTTGGTCCACAGCTTAAAATCCATAGTTGAAGCTTTGGACTCTTCTCTGGCTATACACTCAGAGTCAGCATTTCACCGTCCAGACAGAAAAACAAAGCCCAAGTGTGCTGTACTGAGCCTGATCCATACTACCACTATAGTTAACAGCCTTGATATTTTCCAGAAGCACTCACTTAAGTTAAGAGAAACAGCTTATGTAAAAATAAAAAATGTCAAAACATAGCATACAACACTGACATTGTGAGAGAAAAAGAACTGCAGCTTGCACACGTTTGAGCTTTTGCACTGCTGTACAGCGACTTTTACTGCATTCTTATTACACATAATGTTAACAATATACCTTTTTCAGGATGATATCAATGTAACCTGCAATTAATTGAGAGATCTGTTCTCCTTCAGTGGTCTGTACTGAGTAATAGCTTTCCTGATATTCACCAAAATCCTGAAGAAAAAGAGGAAAAAAACCCACACCTCTGAAAATTGTAAGTAAATAAATGAAGAAACAGTACCAAATATGAGTGAGAGAATTCAAATTTTGAATTGTTTGTATACACATTTTATTACATCCAACAGTAAATGAAACTGCTCCAAGATTCTAAACCAGTCTACATGGGAGGTGAGGGAGGAGAGGGGAAAGATGCTTTTTAGTGCAGCTTAATCACAGATGTTTCATAAATTGAAATGCCAGAGAGGACCAAGAGATACTTAGTCTGACTTTATCAGACTCAGTCACTGAAGGATGGAGAAAAATCTTTAGAATTTTATTCTAAAGCATAATCACCCATGCAATTTGAAATTAGATGCACATAATTTTCTAGCCACTCCCTCTTGGTCTACCACTTTAAACAAACTTTCACATCCAGAATACTCTTGTTGACTCAGTGGTCTCTTATGGACCAAACAATTAACAAAACATCACATTCACGAAAGTTCTTTAAATCCATAATTATAAAATGTATTCATGAACCATCTAGTTTTGTTTATGCTCACATCTTGCCAGTCACAAAGTACATTATGAATTGCAAGGACTGTAAGGGTTTAAGCAGGTGTGAATAAAGATGTTTTCTTAACTGTTTTAGTGGTTAGGTACAGAACAGATTTAAACACTGTTTTTTGAAAAGATTTACAGAGTACTTTTGGGGACCTGGTCCATCTAGAAACATCAAAATACAGATTGACCCTAGACACTAATATGGGCTAGTTTATTAGTTTGGGACTCAGTGACTCTATATAATGCTAGAAAATTACGGATAGAACAAGTTATATTAAAGAAACCTTTCTAAGTATTGTGCATCTTCCTTTCTCCTTGCCACTTAGATCCCTCTTCCTCTGAACAAATAAAAAAAGATTACCAGAGTGAAGCTTTTAGGTGACGCAGCCCAGCGTTTCACAGTTGTCAGTGGCCATTCCTGCAACACTTCCTTGGTCTTCTCATCCACACGCATCACTGAGTCTTTGGTGACACCCAGCAAGCGAGGAACCAGCTTGTTTTTGCCTTTCATCTTTTCCTATAACGAAGTGTGAAAGATTGTTTTTAATTAAAATGGAGCTTGCCATAGGAGAAAGAAAAAACATGATGGAATATACTGACAAAGGGAAGCAACTGGCATGCAGATGAGGACAATTTAAAACTCCAGGCTCAGCTTGCCTGGTCACAGACACTGATTTTCAAGCAATGCATTAACATTAAGAAGCTCTGGTCTTCACTGGATCTTTACTATGCAGTTCAAAACACACACCCTCTTCTCCCTCCTCCAGGAAACAGAAGCATTTTAGGGACTGTGATAACAAATCTTTGGATATTACTGTAAAACAAAAAACCAAACCATGATGGCTGTCCTTCTAGGCACAAGACCTCCTCTGTAAAATTGTATTAGAGAAGCTGAATGGGAAACTGGCATCAGGGAGACTAAGAAGTTAGATTGCCCTCACCGTTTCTCTATAAAATTTCTGGAGAGGTAAAGGAAAGGAAGGCTCACTGGGGCTGACAATTAGGCAAGATCAGCCATAACCTGTCCTGTATTTTGGATTTGAAATCTTAAAATCTTAGTTATTTCAATCCATAAGAACATCCTAACCCATGCAAGTATCACAAAGAAGGGGGCAGAGGCAATTTGCATGCTGCCAGCTAATGTTTCCTTATTCGTTGAACATTCTGCTTCTTTAGTTTTCCAAGGTTGCAGAGCATAAGCCCAAACTAACAATTTGCTGCATAAAATCGATTATAAAACAGAAATGAATCCACGTCCCATTCCCCTGAATTTATGTAGGCTGCAAAGAATCAATTCCTATTTACATAGTCATTTGACAGGCTTTTTAAAAGACCAATTATTCCTTCCAATAGAAGTTTCATGACATGGTTACTTAAGTCAGCCACTGTTTGCTTTAAGCTATGACAAAAATAAGCAAAAATTAACGAAAAATACGAAGATATTTATGAAAAATACAAAGATATTTTTACCTTTTACCACACAGGTCAGCTACACCGTGTTAACAAATTCCCACCAAACTGGCAGATTGTTTTAAGTGTGCATGCTCACTAATATTTTAGTTACTGAAAACTGCACACCGTAACTTTAGTATAGTTTCTAATACGCAACTTAGCTCAACAGCTCTGTTAGGGAATTGAGACTCCTTTCACCATTAATGGTGCCTTACAAACCACTTTCCCTTATAGGAAGCAAGACAACACAGGAATTCTTTCAAAGCATTCCGTATTAACAGTATTATCCTCTGCACATTTTTCATTCTATTTTCACCTCCTATCTGCTTCACTGGAATTTGTGTATGAGTAAGCACTTTAGGAAGAGGCAACCAATATTCAGCTACCTACCAAGATTCTGTACTGTACCTGCAGGAACTTGAGAATGAAAACATTTGCCTAAGTTTAGCCTCCTTTCCATTCTATGTCAGTGGTTACTGCACACTTGGGCACTTACGCTTCAGTCCTGTTTTCACAACAGAACGTCAATATCTTGGTACCAAATTATTTCAACAGCCTTAAGATCATGACCTGTTTTATTGTAAGGGTTAAGAGAAACTAATTGTGCAGCTGACGAAGTCGTTCTTCAGTTGCAGTTTTTCAGCATGCAATTTCTATTATCATTGAACTTTTAAACAGGAACAGCTTATGAGTTCTTTGCAACTGTTTTTCTAAAGACAGTACTCTGTTGGTAATCAAAAGAAAAAAAGAAGAAATGTCAATTTAAAGAAATTAAACCATGACAGACTCAACTTTCTTTCTGGAAGCAGTATGACTAGGATCTAAACTGAAATTATAATTCTGTCCCATGCAGTAATTTACACTTTTTTCCAAATGCTGCTTTCAGACATAAGGCTGAAAGAACATCTTTGATGTTTACTTAGTGCAGAATCTCAGCTAATACGTAACCAACCATACAGTATGGTCACAAGATCTGTTACCTTAACAAGGAAAAATGACACTCCATAGGTCCGCAGGGAACGGGCTAACTTCACATACTTCACTTTGGCTTCTATTTCAGTCATCTCACCACAGTTTTTGTGCTCCTGTAATGAGAGTTCAGTATCACTTAGGCAGAAACAACGCTTTCTGGAAACAAACAAAAAAAAGGGTATAGCTTTTATCTGTTTAAGGATGTGTAGTTAATAATCACTACAATTAGAATATTTGAAAAAAATACTGGCTAGAAATGTTAGCAAGATTGTATCCCATAATTCCTTACACTGGAAGACATAAACAACCTGTGAAACGGAACACTCCTCTTTGCCCATTATCCATTCTGTCTATACCTCAGATCAAGCACACTTAAACCACTTCTGAAACAGTTTAAAATTCTAGGTATTGCTGCTATTTGACATCATCAGGTTTCATACAATTAACACCTCTTTAGTCAGCTTTTCAAAATCATTTAAAAGTCCCAGCACCCATATTTTTTTCCCAGGAATAGCCTATTTATTTCTGCTTTATGCCCAAAACTTCCGATTCATGAGAGCCTCATGCCTTGTAATTGACCTTTTCTCATCTCTTGAAGGTACTTCCAATGTTGGGGTTTTTTTTGTCAGTTGCACCATTATCCACAATTTTTTTCATCACATGAGAAGAATTCTACAGGTGAGGAAGAAATAATGATTTTCCTAAATAGTTCATCCTGAAATACTAATCTAAGTGTGTCTGGTAACTCAATTTCTATTTATTATTTAAACAATTTATTCATTAGTAAACTTTATTACCTGTAAGTAATGACAACTAGCAATACTACATATTCGAACTTCTCAGCATCTGCTCTTCTACCCCAGATGGTTCTGCGGAAAAACCTGTCCCAATGTCCTGCTATTTAAGTACAGTTTGTGGGATTCCCTATCACACCTCATCTGCCCCTCACATTCCTGAGCTGCTGATGCCATCTCTTTCATGCTGACTGACGGCAGCAGGGGGAGCACCAAGGACATGGGAAACAATTTCCTACTCCAGTTTAAGTTATCATCTTGACAATGTTCCACAGAGGAGCAACTGCAACTCCAAAAACCCTTTTGCATCCCAAGGACATAGACTGATCACATTGGCCAAGTTCACCACAGAGAACACAATCAGGATCCCAAAAGTGCAAGGAGCCCAAATATAGTCAATGCAGATGGAATATTTAGCAAAAAAATCACCTGTCAAACTCAAGAATTTCATAACTTGGGGAAACAGCTGTTGTACTTCAAAACAACAGCTTGCTTATTCTACATTGCTGTTGTATCTTTGCCTAGCATCAGTGCCCTTGCTGATGGACTCCTTTTTCATGCACTGAAGTATGCAATGATTGAAACTACTCATAGATCACTGATCACTAAGTGTCTTTGCCTACTGAAATACAACTTTGACTATACAATGTAACTTGAAGAATTCTGAGGTCAACAGCTAAAATCAAGTGGTCTGGTTTCTGGCAGGACATACCAGTGATCTGTGATCTCAACTTGGGAATCAAGTTGAAGAGCAGGAACAGGTCACATACTTTCCTATGTCTATTACATTCCCAGTCTAGGAATTCTGTAGCTCAAAGTCTGTTCTGCCTGGAGCTTGTAGTACCTCCTCGTAGAAGAGTTTGTCTTAACACTTTTCTGTATACCTTTAGCTGGTGGTAGTGATGTTGCAGTTTAAGCAAAAAAAGATCCTTTCACTTCTGAGTATGCTATCATGCTATTCATAGCATGTGATTTTTTGCCCATGTCAAATGCGATCTATGAGTAGTTTCAATCATTACATACTTCAGTGCATGAAAAAGGAGTCCATCAGTGAGGACAGGAGCTTGACTCAGGCACTGGATTCAGGGATGCACGGATCGGGATCGACGACAGAAGAACAGACAGAGTCCTCCTCAGATGTCGGCTCTTCCTATCATTGTGAAGCAGAATTCATCTACAGGGAGGAGCGAACTGGACAGGTAACCCAAACCTGACCAACAGAGTATTCCATCCCATATACGTCATATTCAGCATAAAGCTGAGAGATAATGAGGGTCTCACTCTCCTCTTCGATGGCTGACACCTGAGGAGGACTCTGTCTGTTCTTCTGTCGTCGATCCGGATCCGTGCATCCCTGAATCCAGTGCCGAGTCCAGTGCCTGAGTGCAAAGACACTTAGTGCATCTACAGTATCAAAACTGAGACCACTTCCAACAGTATATCAGTACATTTTATACTCAACTGCTTCAGTCTTTTACAATTGTGCAATTCCCAGAGACATCACTGAACTCTCGAGAAGTAGCTAGCAGAACTCCAAATTACTTGAAGCTCATGCTTGAATAACAAAGGCATGAAATTAAAACCGCTTTTCCTAAATGTGCTCCTATTGTAGTACAAATGCACATCCTTGCATTTCAGTGCAACTGAGAAAAAGGTCTTAAGAATATTAAATATTCACTCTCTCCCCTTCAACCAAATACACTGAATAATCATCAGTGAATAAGAAAGGATCAGGACAATAAATCTGCTGAAGAAAGAAAAGCTGCTGGATTCCTTTCACTTGATTTTCTGATAGTTATATAATTCAAGTATATACAGAGTATACACCTGTGAAAGCTCATATTTTTCTTATAAAGGAAGTGAAACTATAGTAGGTTTTTCACCCTCACAATTACCTGAAATATTCTCTTTTCAGCCCCTCTTTGTTTCGTATATTCTTTAGGCAGGAATTCTTTTAGGCTAGAAAAAAAAAATTCCATAGTTAATGGTGCCTTCTTGAGGAAGGATGTTTTCCATGCTCCTTTATTGGCATTAAGTCCCCCAAGCTTCCTAAAATGGGCATAAAATACCTATACAACGAAACAAAACTGTCTAAGCAGGGTGAGAGCAAGAGAATACCTTACATAATTAAGAAAAACACTTTAGTTACATCCCCATGTAATAACTCTTCATGTTTTGAAAACTCATCAAAAGTAAACGATAGCTGTGAAACTTTCCGTTCTTAAACTATATGATGTCTCTCATCAGCTCAGAGGGGTTCACACCTAAACCGTAATATAGTCATTGTAATCTCGGGGGAAAAAGGGGATATCAAAACTTGAGGCACCTCTGTATCTGTACTCAGATACTACTATTACTTTTCAGTAGCACTGACGTACTGACATGCAGGATCAAGTTCTTCCTCTGTGTCTTCCAAGAAATGTCAGAACACTAATATTTTACTGAAAAACTGCAAAGCCATTTAAGTGGACACTTAATACCAGTCACTATCTCAAAAACAAAGTCATAAGTAACCAGTCCTAATTTCTGTAGCACTCAGATACTAAGGGTCTCAGACTGTAACGTAAACTAAGGAAGTTCGGTGTCCACGGTAAGAGTTTAGTGAGAATCTTTAAACACCTCACATGTACCTCCTTGCTATATAATAAAATAAACCCTTTATCTCAGCCAAACACCACCCCAACTTAAAGATATATCAACATCATGCTTTAACAGCAGTTCTTTTCTGGATTGCACTTCCCATCTGGAACACTCTACCCTCTGACGATATATGTCATATATTCAGCAGCACATTTTCAGACTAAAGAAACATCCACAGTTCAAAACAATTGGTTTCTAAGGATCCCCCCTGCTTTGAACTATTAAGAATCACAGAAAAAGTATGACTGGAGAATCTCTCCTCATTTTGGTTTATTCAGTAAGCAAGGACATTATTAACACAGAAAGCTAGAACTACCTTTTATCACAGAAAGTTGCAAGTTTTGAGAAGGATGGACTTTTTTTTTTTTTTTAAACAAGATTGGCAAAAAATTTGCTCTATTGTTCTATGGGTTTTTTGGGGGGGTGGGGGGGCATGGGCATTTGTAGATTTTGTTTGTTTGTTTGTTTGTTTTTAAACACAAAAGCCTGCCATTGAGGACAATAAACAAAAGTCAAAAGACAAAATCAGGATTTTGTGCCTTTTTCAAAAATACTATTTCAGTAGTGAGATCATTCATTTTGTTCGTTCCATAAAGCTCTAGCAATATAAAGCAAAGTCAGAACAACTGTCCTTGCTAATTTTTCTTCCAATGCTCCAGTAGTTACATCTCACTAATACATGACAATGAAATCTCTTCTCAGGACTTATTTACACAGTCACACAGTGAGGCGGGGAAGGCTGGAGTGCCAAATTAATTTTGTAGATAAAGACGGAATACAGCTTATTATCCTAAATATCTGGTGCCTTTATACTGAAACAACTCGTGCCTTTACACAGAATATCACAGGTTCAAACCAGTTTGGTTAAATTTACTTCCAAGGCAAATGGAAAAAAGAAAACAAACTAAACTTGAGTTAAATCCAGTTTCATTCTGGAAACGGGTTTATACAGAAAATGATAGTTATCAGTGTACTTCCAATTCTCATTCTAACTTCTCAATCTGGCAGAGTGGATGATTTCTCCTTGTATCACCTTCCATTATCTTCCAGTCAATAGACAGGCAATCACCTCAACTGAAAGGGTGAAATGCTAGTTGCAACCAGACTGAAATTATTTTAATGCTACCTATAATCAAGATATTTTCTTTATGATGCAACAAACAATAGTTTCACTTTATATAACAGCTTGTTTAATGGAGTTTGCAAAAACACCTGGTACATAATATCAATTAGGCTTCTTCAATCTCTTGAATTACACATTAGTGCAATGGACAATGAATTCAGTTAAAAAACACCTAATAGCAAGCAGTGTTTATTTAACCTCATTTACTGTGAGTTTGTTCCTACAGTTCTTAAAAATAGCTATACACGAGTGCCAATGTATTGACTGTATTTCAATAGCATAAAGGTATACACAGTGTTCTTGAAAAAGACAGTTTAAGACAGTAAAAGCAGGCCAAATTAAAGAACTGAGGTTACTGGTCACCAAGAGTCCTTGAAAATAAAATGCAGAGGTGGGCAGTTTTAGCTGCTCCTTTCCTACTGCATACAATTAGTATGAGTTCTTTATTATATATTCTCTCAGCAAATTTAAACACAGTGTACCTCTGTTGGTGCAACGCAAAGCTTCAGCTGTATGAGGAAGGGCATGAAGAAGGACTATTTGCAATACGATAGTTTAAGAGCTTTCACAATTTACTTTGGCATGAGCTTCAAGGAAATGCCAACAACCAATACCAAAGTGTTAACAAGATGCAGGCAGTGATCTCCACCTGTGCCAAGAATAATTTAGTAATGACAAAAAAGGATACAAAAGATCTCTCTCTATAAGCGTACTGCAGGCATGGCAAACTAAACTAAGCTGTTTCAAAACAATGATATGAAATACTAATACTATTCTGTTACATGCTGTTTTCTGGATGAGCTGACAGATTCTCCTTAAGGGAATCCATGACATGTTCAGGTTTCAGTGGTGAGTGAATGGACATCTCAAATATATTTCACATACTGAGCTACAGCATACAGTTTACATAAAACATAATTACTTTTATACGTGAAAAGAACCAAAGTTCATCCACCAAAGAGCAGGAAATAGTTGGACGAAGCTTTAAGAAAGCTCAGTCTTTAAAAAACAAAACAAAATTAAAAATTTTTTACTGAAAGGACAAGAGATGCATTTTCAGAAGAAAATTCATCAGCATTTATCTACACTATTCATATACACTCCTCATTACGAGACAGGAGTTCTCGGCTTGTTTAGGGACTCAAAACAAAAGCATGAGGTTTTACAAAAAGGCTGTCATGAAGGCTATGTCCAGCCACATGCATACAATACCAAGTCACAAACATGGACACCTGAAATCAGAAGGCAATGACTAGGGACTTAGGGTTCTGGAGTAGGCTCCTCTACAGAGGGCAAAGAGAAAATTACTTCTAAATCAGAAATCCTTAATTTTATGAAAATGATTATATACCAGGACAGCGACTGATTACACTTACTGACCTGAAAGGCTTGATCTTAATATAGTCAAAGCCCACCTAAGTGAAAATAAAACAAAAGTAGAGAGAATTTCCTCTCTCAGAAAATAACAAGGATCTAAATTTCGTAATTCCAGTTCTAAATGATTTCTACTGGAGTAACATTCTCTTTCTAATATACAGTTCAGTTATTTATACCTTTCATTTCTATTACGATTAAAAAGAAAGATTGTGCATTTTGTATGTCTGATGACTTTATTCTGTGATGGACTTCACGCTATCTAGCATTGCATACAAAGTAGAAATATCATCCAACCAGCAGTTTCAGTCCATCATAAAACACAGTTACTATATGGGAGCTTAAAAAAAGAAAAAAAAAAGTCTTTACACTGAAAAGACCAAGTAGAACATGAAGAAAAACACAGAAGAATTTAAGCAACTGAACTCTGCACAGCAGTTTGCAAAAACTGCTGGTTAAGTTTGTGGGGAATTATTGCTTTAAAAATTTAAAAAAACTACTGCTGGGAACACCTAACTCTTGAAATCATTACTATGACACAACATTACCTTGTCATGAGGTACCACCCTAACACTACTCACTCCCCTAACATTTATCCTGCAGGAATACTCTTGAGTGAGTGGAGGGAAAAGGGAAGAATAAGTAGGCAATTGACAAATCCCAGAGGAAGATGGCTGTGTAACTGGTCACAACTCTAGGGAATAAGAACCAGGAGAACATTGAAGCTATTACACTGGGTCCCCATGATGACATCATGGGTGCCCTACATGACATCAGTAGCTCTATTAGGAAGGGTTCATAAGCCAATCAATAGCATACAGTGCTAAGAAAAGCTGATTATTAATTGGAACTGAAGGATGTTTGTTCACGTGGTTGGTTTGTATAACTGAACTGCTACTTCAGAAAAATCTTTCAGAAATGAAGTGTTTCAAACAACCAATGCTGCAGCACTGCATGCTCCAAACCAAACCACCGTTTTAAAGTGATTTCCTGAGATTCAGACTGATGAAGGAAGCATAAGAGTCAGCACTGAGCACTTGGCCAGTGTAACAGCACAGAAACCAAATATGCACCCATTGTTTTCTGCATCCCACTAAAGTATCTATGAGCCTTATGCAGGGCTTAATGGACCGTGCAGTAAATAGCTTTCTTTTACCTTCCTACATGCCTTTCCTCAGACTCTGGCCCCCTAGTTAATTCTACTGCAGGCAAACCAATCAGAAAATCAAAACTGGTAAAAAATGGGACATCTAAATTTCAGTCAAAGTGAACTTGCCCTGCTGATTAGCAGTAAAATAAGTATCAAAATACAGGTTAAAGGATGGGCCACTTGTAAGCAGGACTCCTCTCCATGTCTGAAACAAAGAGCACAATTCCAGATCTCCATTCATACAAAACCATGCGAGGGTGAATCTGAACAACTGATTAATGCCACAAAGAAGTTTGGAAACTTTAACCTCTACACACAGCAATATTAACTTTATTCACATGACAAAGCATCTTTCCATTCGTGTACTGTCCTAGCAAATCAAACATCTGTGATACATAGTGATATACGCTTACTTCACACATGGCATTATTAAATGCAGGCAGAAGTAGACTACTTCAGAACAAAATCCCAGTTCTCCCACACAACCAGGTGGCTGGGGAATCCAGCCGCATACTTAACTGGCACCCTGGGAGGAGCTGGTGCCCTGTGCTGCCTAATAAGTCACTGCCAAAGGTCTCCTCAGCAGTTGAGGTTGCTGATTTATGCAATAAGGCTCCTTTCACAGGGATATTGCTACAGAAAACACACCGAATCTGATTACCTCTGCTTGGAGTACTGAAATGCATTTAGTCTGTGACAACTCAACACTAGTTACACCTGAGGTCACCCAAATTTAGAATTTAGAAGTGTTTACTCTAAAAATCCAGGTTTGTGTTTGTGTTCTACGTGAGGTCCAAACTGGATCTGTGCTTGAAAACCTCCAAACTCGCAGGCCTTCTCAAAGGAGACAGGATGGGAACCATTCAGAATGTCATCACGAGCCTATAGGAGGTAAGCAAAGACATGTCAGGGACATCCAAATTAACTGTTACATCTCTGAAATTCCTTGAAAGCTTGAACACAGCCCAAGAATCCAGCACAACACTCTTCTGCCTGAATGTCTCTATTATTCCATTTGGGATGTGTTTATGACTAATAAAATAGAGGGCTAGATTATTTTCTGGTGAATACCTACGGAGACTTATTGAAACCATGATTGTAACAACTTTCATCAAAAAGAGGACTTGACATCCACTTCCTGCTGTACGTGTACATAAAATACAACATATGTATCTACACTTATGTGTATGCGCACATATATACGTGTGTGTACATGTATGTACACACATATATACACATGTGTGTACCTATACACATGTAAAAGCTTTTATCTTACCACCTCATAATAGCAGGGAAAATGATCTGCGTAACTAAAGTAAAAACCAGATTGCCATTACAGAGATGGCAACAGAAAACAAACAGCATTTTTCTTCCTTTCGTTTAAATTTAGTGGTCATAGAAGATGATGGATTTTATAGCTCTGGCAACAGAAGGCTCATCGATCCATAGACAAAACAATGACAAGGCAGTATCAACACATACTGTTCTAACAGTAGCCTGAGAGAAGTACCTAAGTGGCAGGAGAACAGCTCAGTGTGACAGTCTAAAATACTTGAAAAACGTAATGCAGTCTTACAAGCAATGCCATCGTTATTTTTTGTCTCAGGGTTTTAAAATGTGATTTAGAGCAATCACATTTGAATCAGCTGAAAGGGTAACAACTAAACATTCCATTAAACTTTCAATGGTGGGGTTTTTTGTTTGTTTTGTTTGTTTGTTTTTTAAGAAATAAAGAACTTTAACAAAGAGTTTAAAAGCCTGCTTTTTTCAGACTACATTACAGGCAACTGCATTGGAGCCTTCAGCTAAATAGCATCTCCTGCATAAAACTGTTAGCTTTGCTAAGGCCTGTCTAGTACCTCTAACAATCTGGGGAACCTGCCTAGGTGGACTCCCACAGAGTTACATGACATGGCCCATTTTGAACAGGAAGCCTGCCTGCTTTGTGTGCTGCCTGGGTTGGAGACTGGAAAGGAAGTGCAGAACTCTCAGTGTCTCTCACTGATCAGGCGGAAGAGAAAAGAGGGAAGTGGAAAGCCAGTTACAAGACTGACCTGAGATTCCATATTACAGACAAAGCACCACCCACAGAAGAGAACAGGGAGAAGAACTAAAAAGAACAATTTAAAAGGCTGAAGACATTCATGAAATTTAAGGAGACCAGGACAAGCATGTTGAAGTCCGTGGATTTTTGGTTGAGTGTCTATTACTGGGTTGAAAGTATTTGATTAAAAACAATCAGCAAAGCCTCTGAACTTGTTCTTGAAGGGACAGACAGAAAAGTAAAATTAAAGCACACCCAGAACTGGAATTCTAGAAGTTTGAGTATTTCAGTAACAAATTTTTTTCTAATTAAGCTACATAGCTTTCCTCAGACAAGGTAGAACCCATACTTCTGGTCCACATACTGTACCTGAACATAAAGCAAATTAAGCTGAACAGGATCTCTTGAATCTACATTCTGGTCTGAATAAAAGAACTTTCGTCTCAACAGAAGCGTTTCACTTTCATCGACTCCTTGTTCTCTAAATGTTCGGCTGTGATCTAGCCAATTCACTGTAACAGAACCATAGACATGCACGTTGTTAAATGCACAGAGTGGCCAGTGTTAAAAGCCGTTGTGAAAATCATGTGATAATTGGCATTTCCACTGGAGGGGGAAACTCCACAAGAAATGTTGCTTTCACTTCTATTTCTAGTCATCAGTGTTGAAGGTTGCTACAAATGAGAACTGAAGAACAGCACTGCTGAGAAACAAGAATTTACTAAAGAAGAAAACCACATTAATATTGTTAGAAGCAACTATAGTAATGTTCTAATAATACATTTAGGTCTTAAGAGCTTCACTGCAAAATTACTTAAAAGTTTACCATATTTTTCCCCTAAAACCAATTGTTCCGTTTACTTTTCTTATCCCTGAATACAATTTCAAAGCATCTTCCTGCTAGTCACAGTTAATCTTAGTGCCTTAATGTAAAACAGAAAAAAATGGTTCTCATGGCTTTACACATAAAACAAAACAAACAGTCTTAGTTCTTTGGCAAATTCCATCTACACTTAAAATTTATACTTTCAAAGACAAAACTACCTTTTGATGGCTTTCAGCAGGTATCAATTTTTAAATATCCAGCTCTAATCAAGGGAAGAAAATGGTCATTATAGAAATGATCCATCACATTTAAGTTACAACTTCCCTACTAAAAAAGTAACAAAAAACACTTCAAAAGACCCACTAACTGTCATAGCTAGAGGCAACAACTTGTCCATTTAACTCATTTTAAAAATACTCAGGGTAGCAGACAACATTATGCAAAATACAGGTAGGAATCAACTGAGACACACTGAAGAACCTATGCATTCCTGTGTAGATTTCTTGCTCTATACCATGGAAAGATATTAACTGAAGAATTATCCTGGAATACACTACTCACAATCATCATCTGTATGAAGCTTTGCCTTCAGTTTTTCCATTTTTCTTTCATCACGCAACAATGTCCTATCTTTCTTAAGCGTCCCTGTACTCTCCTCTTTCTTCTCTTCGATGCTCTCTTGGATTAAGGAATACTCCTCATAATTTGTTATTCCTGGAATTACAAATAAATCCAGCGTTTGTAACAATTAAAATTTAAAACATTTTAGGATGGGTGAAATACTCTTTTCCATGTATTACAACACCAATGGTTAATTTCAAGTATAGTGAAGATAACCCAGATGAAATGCTAAAACAGTGTATGGGGAAGGAGATCCCAAGAATAATCTACAACTTCCACATTCAAGACATGTCTCCAATATCAGCATTATCCTTCAAATGCATCATTCCTTCATCATATGCTGCATTTGCCACTTTCAGAAAGATATTAAGATTTTTTTTTTTTGTTATCTACCAAGAGAAGCTGCCAGTTTAAAAACGTAACGGAACTTAAAATAGCAGTAAATTCCAGAACGGAGACATAGCCACAGTAGATTTCCTTTCACGGATGCCTACAACTACTTCCTGAGAACTGAGTAATTTCAGCTTGCCCACGATGTGCAGAAGAAACACGGCAGAGCAGACTGAGGAATAAAAACCATGTGAAATACATGATTTTTTTACAATTATTTTAGAGCTTTAAAACTCAACTCTTCCTATGAATTTTACATGAAATTGAATCAAAAATCAGTTCACAACATTTAGCATATGTTACCAAGTTGCTCTCATTTCTTCGTTCTGCTTGTTTTTTTCCACTGTTTAGTAAAGCACGTTTATGTTATGCAGGAAAGTAAATTAAATGCTCACCTACATGATGACATTAATGAAAATAAGACAAAATAATTTTTGAAGTAAGTTAGTTAGAGCACGTTAGAATCCAGCGTTGAAACACTTGAACAAGATTGAAATGGATGAATTTAAGTTTAGCTTCATTTACTTTCCAAGTAAATGAATCCAAATTAAATTAAGGCCACTTCAATTCTAAATGAGAATTAAGCAAAGGTTTAAGATGATTTAAACTAATCCATGTTGGATGCATGTTTCTAGTTAAATATGGATTAGTTTTCCAAAATTTCTCTCTTTAGATAAATACAAAGACCGTCTATAACCAATATGACACATTTTTGACCAGCTGCTCTGGATGGCTTCCATATGTTGCTTCACAAATGATATGGTACTGTGATCCACTCTTAATCATAACATAGAGCCACAAGTTTAGGTATATTTCAAGGTTACCAGTATTCATCTTTCATTCCATGAAGTATAAAGTTCGTTCTAATTCTCTATCACACAGCAAGTAATCATATATAAATGTAACTTATACTAGAAAATTTATAACTGTACTCTCAGAAAACTTCGTGCCTCAAACTGCTAAATACTGTAGTTTAAGGATATAGCTAACTCTCTATCAATTTTCATAAAACCTGGAAAAGGTTAACTAATGACAAATTTAATTATTTTTTTTTAACATGTGCCAATTTCTAGTCAGTAATACATACAACAATCTAAAAATCAAGATGTAAATATGGCAGAAAAGCAAATTCTTAAGCATGTAAGTCCCAAAATCTTACCTATCCTGCTGCAAATGGTAACCAGCAATTCACCAACTGTTTTAGAATCATCCACCATGACTGTTTTCACTGAACCATCCAACATACGTATTTTCTGAGGTCTCTGTTTCTTTTTGTACTCCAATATATCCTAGGAAGTAAACAATCCTTTTTCTAAATGCTTTTGGAAGCCACCACAAGCCAACCCACTAACTTGCATGCCTAAAACAGGATTTCCTTCTCACACCCCATGCTGGATTTTTCCTTTGTTATAGTACAGGCAAACCTATTATTCATGTAACAAACCTGAGAAGGGTCTACTTTTAGTTCTACAATGTTATTTTTCAGGAACTTGTCCTAGCTGGCAAGATGAAAACCTAGACAGGGCAGGACAGACCAAAGTACCTTTGTGCTGCAAAAAATAGTTGAGCATTCAGAACGTTTAGCAATGCCTTTTGGTTGTAAGCAAGCTGACCATAATGTGAGCAAGTATGATCTCATCATCTTCCGCATGCAAGAAACCTATGCTATAAGGCAAGGTCATCTCAAATATAAAGCTTATTACAAAACATATTTTTTATCTTTCTGTCTGCGAACACGCTATTGGCCACAGTAGCTCACAGTCACCACCAGACGCAGGGAAAAAACCTAACTACTGAGGCACAGCAAGGAAGAGAAGTGGGCCAATTTCAGGAACAGACTCCAGACCCTCCCACCCCTCCAAAGGCTGAACATTCTTCTTGCTACTTGGGAAACAAGTTTTCTAAAAACGTTGATGAAAGAAGCAACAGACTTGCATCATACCCCATTTCTCAGCATGTAATAATCCAGTGTTCTTCCAGCCTCCAGCCATATACCTTTTCGAGGATCATCATCTGACAAGAACAATCCATAGTCAGAGGCTGTGGAAGAGAAGAGACAGAGACCCATTGAAAAATACCAACCTAATAATGCCAACATGGTTTTATTCAAGGTTATTCAGCTTCAGGGTTAAGCTTCCATTACACTTACCTTCTACTCTTAATGAACTTGGATAGAAATTTTTTTCTGTGCATTTAGCATGTGCTAATGTGCAGAAAGCATTTAGCTTAGCAGCAGATAGCAGGGTAGGGCAGGCTTTATAGAAGACTTAAACAAAAGCTTCACTAAGCGAGAATATGTCACATCTACTATGTAATTTGTATTATATTTGCAACTACTTTTCTTCAAGATGACCCTCTTTAAACACTTATAGGTCCTGCTTTGGAACTGACTAATCAAAAATAGAAGCAGTTTGGGCTTAACCATAGCATAGTATTTTAAGCAGTAGTTCTATTTTTTAAAAAAAAAAGAAGTTTGTTTTCAACCCTTCACATACTCAGTTTATGCTAAACTTTGGAATCTTTTTGGTAGATGCTTCAGGATTATGCATTCAAAAAATACAAGATTTCTAGAATTACATCCACAATAAGGATCTCAGGAAAAACTTTCATCTATTGCAGTATAAACACATGTCAATTGATTCTTTCAGAATCACAAGTAAATGATAAAACTTTCATTGTCACAGAAGAACAAACCCAGGCTCAGGCTTCAAAGACTAAACTCCAGGTATACAAAATGAAGGACCATGACTGTCCACTTAAGGCCCATCCATATGCATGAAGAATTGATACAGCATATACTTCACTATCACAAACAGTGTAAACTACTGTTCATCAGCTAAGCCTGCTTTAAGTGCATTTCTACAGTTTAAGTTGATGGCCTTTTTCATACAAGCTTGCCAGCTGTGTGCTTACAGCCTGTGACAAAGAGCTTGGTGCAAGGAAGGTACCTTGTTTACTCTTGGCCATGTGTTCAGACCCTCTGATCAGAGAGTCAGGTAAAAATAGCTACAATTTTTGGACAATGTTTCATCTTTAAATGTCAGCATAGCAACAATTTACATTTAACAGCATTTATATTAAACACTTGTTGCTCATGCAAGTATATTAAAAACACCTTACACTTAATTAATAAAAGTGTAACTGACTTACTGATACACAATCTCGAAGGAAGAATCCTTCCAAAAACAACTGAGTAAGAACAAAAAGTTTTCCTGCCAACCCTAATTAAAAATTCCCTTGAAAAGCCAAGTGATCCGTACAGAGACGCTTATGACACAAATTCAGTACAGAATCAGTTACATAAAACTTTAGAATTTGTGCCTACAAATCGGTTGTGACCTTTAGAAGCACGCAAAGCGCCTTGCACAGAGCACAGAATTACCGAGGAAGCACAGACTGCTCTGATACCCATTTCTGGGGGACAACCCTAGTAATGAAATAGTAGTAAAACACCACAGCACCTTTGTGCCAGCATGCAAGCTTACTGGAGAAGTGAAATGTGCACAGTTGGCAGTCATAATGCAGGACAACTACATTTTTTGTTGTGCAGGAACTAGTTTGATCAGTCTCTACTGCAACACAACGAATCTTCCGAACTAACAAATGCACACATTTTAACAGCCAAGGAAGGGGAAAAGATACGTTAGTAACCTTATTTCTGTTCATCACTCAACTTTGTGAAGTTGTTTGAAGTTTGTAATTGCACTGCAATCACATACAAAGGAAGAGCCCTACTGTACGAGCTGAGGAGAGTTCCTAGGCTTTTCTGTGAGGTTCATGACGTTCAGGGATATTGATTACTCAACTTTTCCGAATTCAACAGCTCTTCAAAATCACTGCCTTGAGAGATCAGTACGGTAAAAATGCACAGCTTGTATCTGAAAATTGAAGGTCTATAAGTAGACTTCCTAAGAACTCCTCCAAACGAGAAGCATTTCTAAGTAACAGTAACGTTGTCCATTACTGGTAAGCTTTTCTAACAGTTCAGACAAGATTTTCGAAACAGCTCTAAAGGTTGAGAGCTGTGCATAAAACTCAATAAACCATTTGATTTAAGAATTACATTCCAGTGGCATTATATACAGTAGAGCACCAAAGGGTTCTGAAGAATCCGAATTTTTTTTACAACTTCAACTACATTTAAACCAGAGCTTTTGTCCAACTGAAGATGCATTTCACAGTCTGCATTCATCTGATTTGCTCAACAGGTACAGAGACAATTAAATTTGATTAACATGTAGCAGCATTGTGAATATGGTGTGCACAGCACGGTGATGCTTTTAGTTATTAACCATTTTCAAACATTTCCTTTTGCACATTTTTGAGATGTTCAGCCATTCTTTTGTAATTCATGTTGTCCCTTCCTTTGCTGAGGCACAAAATAAGTCTGCCCAGACTTTCCTAGAAAGCATTGCCACAAACACTGCTTTAAAAAGATGGTACCACAAAAATTGCTCTCCAAGAGGGGAATAAAAAAAATCACCTTTCAGGCAAACAAGCAATTTATAGAAGTCAAAGTTCCACTAAAGAGTGTTCTTTGTAGAAAAACCACTGTCAGGATGGAAGAAGAATGCAGCTACCTTCTGTCATTTAAACAAACTGTTTGCACTTTTCGCCTTTCACTCCAGAGCCTTAGGATTTAAACAAAAACCCCAAACCCTTCAATCTGAAAGATAAATGGAAGAATAGAAGAGTGTAAAAAACCCATGGATCTATTTTCAATTATGCCAATGAATTGACTAAGGACAAACACAGGAACTCACCTTGCCCTGTTTGAGCCTCTGGCACTCGTTCACGAATAACTCTACAGGCATCATACACTGCAGTGGATGGTTCAAACTGCATCGTCTTCACTACATTGCACTGGCGGACACAGATCTTCAAGGAAAGAGCTACCATGGTGTCAAGTCACTTGCGACTTCCTACTAAAGCACCTGAAAAAGCATTAATGGCATTATTGCTTAGAGTTTTTCCATTTAATGCTTTAATACACTCAACTTTTCATTAAAAAAAAAATTAGATTAGTTCAGTAGAATTATATTTATTCAAATGCAGTTCTATATAGTCTCATAAGCATCATCAAGCTAGAAACCATCCAAAACACTAGTACACTGGAAATTAATTTTCAAAAAACTTGTGTACACACACTTATAGGGTGATCCTTGGTCTGAGGTATGTCAAAATGGTACACAGGAAACACTTATTGAGTATACTGCTGACATATTTACTACTGACAGAACATGATTTTTCTCTCACCACATCTTTTTATTGGACCAGCTAGATTAGCTGGTAACTAACAGCTTAGAATAACTAAATGAATCCAGGATTTTCTTAGTACATAACTTCTCTTTTCTGAAGATTCTAAAAAGTGCAATACCGTGTGGTGGTTTTTTCCAGGTCTCCAGATAGATCTGCTAGATGTTTTTATCCTGTTGCGTAGCTACCCAGAATTTCAAGAATGAGCTATTTTTCATTTCAGTTCTATTTCAGAAACTTCACTGAATTTGACAGCATTTGTCTACAGAAACAGGAAGCTACAGATGCTTTTTGTTTTGTTTCATTTTGTAGATAGTCTGGGTTTTGTCTCAAGTGTCTTCCTCTGCTGTCATAACACTCCAAACCACTCCTCCATCATTAGACTTTCCACAGTGATCTCCAAGAACTCTTCAGAACTGAAGTCCTTTCTGCATAAATACTGAACCTACTAGAATCCTCAAATCCTTTCTACATACATTTATCTATTTTAAACAGAGGACGCGAGACTCTGCGGACTACTGCTACTGGTGATAATTTGAGCAGGACAAATTCCAGTAGCTAAATAAAAATTTCAGTGCCAGTTGTGTATCGCTTTACAGCGCAGAAACTCAGTAGTGTTTGGCAAAATTACTTTAAGGAATAGGAAGAAACAACCATTTACATTTTATCAGTGCACTGATGCGCTGAGCTCAGTGATTGCATCCCTCCTCCAAGGCACAGGAAGCAGACAAATCATTTCTCTACTGATAACATTTAAGAGCAGCTTTGGCTCTAAGATGTCATCCTCCCCCATATTTTTGCGGCAGCCCATCCATCTGCCTCTCAAAAGCAAATCATCCTACTTCAGATTCCAAGACCACTCACCATTTCACCAGAACGAAATGCTAGATAAGACTATCTGACAAAGGAAAAGGGGTGAATGAGCAACAAAATATACAAGAAACATTAACCTCAATGCTTTCCTCATCTATCAGTGTCTGATAACAAAATAATCTGTATTTTGACCCAATCACTTTAGGCAGAGGTCTGATAAATAAATGAAGATCTGTCCCCACTATCAAATACTAGTTTCTAAAAGTCATCCAAAAGGTCTTATGCTTCAGAAGTAGCTGTTCAGTATAGCAGCAGCACAAAAGAAATGCTAGACAAAGAACAAATCTCTGCAGTATTTCCATAGAGATTTAGCATAACTAGGTTCAGTTTAGCACTTTGTCATTTATATATAAGCAAACCTCGGAGCACTACAAAACCAAAAATATCCCAGAAAACCACAGATTGGAACCGTTCTTTGCCATCCAGAATGGTCCCAGAAAGAATAATTATGTTCACGCATGCTTACCTACACAGTTAAAAAAAAAAAAGTGGCACACTAAACAGCTGGAAAAGACACAGATCAGCTTGGAAAGCAGTCTGACCAAGTTGCTCAGCAGGCAGTTCTAACTCAGAGGTGAACCTCTGAAATCTGGCTGTCAGCTTCCAGTGTGGTAAGGTGAGCCACAAATCCTGCTCTCTCCCCTGTCCGTCAATGTGTTACAGCAGGGCCATTATAACGCAACTCTCTGAGCTCTCTCCCTCTCTGCTATTTTCTACTCCTTTTTGAAAGAGGAAATGATATAAAGTGACACCAGTGAACAGCTAAGTTCTAGAAAAAGTTTTCCTTTCCTCTTTGCTTTCTATTGCACCTGAAGTTAAGATTTGCAAGCCACACAAATCACATATTTAGACTTCATCTGATTATCTTGTCCTATTAAAGGGCAAAACAGATACCTTTTCCTACCAACTTTCCCATGAACAAGCTGCAGTCTTAACTTTTGGTACAGATTACTTTGGTTAAAGGAAAACAGTCATTCAGAAAAAATGTAAGCACATTCAATAACCACCTTTTAAAAAAATAACTTCAGTAGAAGCATTAAAATACACTTCCTCTCTTCTGCTAACAGATGTAATACTGATGACTGACATAACCGATGACTGAATCTATTCTCTGACATTAAAGCAAAGTGAATATAATACAGTTGCACAGGCAAGCTGCAGCACCTTCTGAAAGATCCAACTAAACTTCTTCTTTTAAGGTATCAAATGGGATCCACCTGAAAAATCTTTGTGTGTAATGAAGTGATTCACTGCTCTCTGGTACGGAATACTAGACAAGTGACCGGATAGTCATAAATTAGCACCTCACTTGAAAGTTTCATGCCATACAAATCCTGTATTACCAGCACTGACAGTAGTGTGTCTTGTGTAAATTATGGTGATTTAGTACTATGCTTCCTATGTACAGCTGACTCTTTCAATATTTCAGAAAATAACATTTTCTTTTAAGGTGAAGGGTCACAAGGTTACAGCACGAAAACAGTTATTTGCAAACAGAAAAATCTACTTAATCTTTTAGTTAACCCTTTTACATGTAACTCAAAAATGGATTTTAAAAAGGTCACTAACTTGCATCAAGGAACATCCAAATTCAGCCCAGTATCTAAATCTCCCTTTATGAACAGAGAAAAAGAGACAAAGAAAAAACAAATGGTGAAGACCGACCATGAAACTTCAACTGGAAAAATAAAAAACAAATTTAACACAATTTTACAAGTTGATAATCTCTTACAGTGTCCTTCCAAAGCCCGCCCTTTTTTGCAGGGTCAAATTCAACTCCTTAAAGAAGGAAAGACCTAAATACATCAGTGGTCTGGTCTTCTTCAACTGTGCTCTTGGTTTCAGAGACACCAAAGGACTCTATCTGGAAAACAGCTTATGAAGAGGGCCAATGAGTTATCAGTTTCCTCCAACACTACGTTCTCAAACTTCAGAGAAAGGTTTTCATCTGCCTCCTCCAGATTACCCTCAGGCTCTAAACCTCCCCACTTGGCTTTCAGTAATAACTGGAACAGGCAGTTTCCACCTCTTGGGTAACAGCCAAAACAGGACAGCTGTTTTTTCTCAAAAGAACGAACTTGGTCAAGAAAAAGGGCTGAGATCACAGAGAAAAACAAGGGGAAAATATCTTCCATGTTTCCTTTATCTTCTACACATTGATTCACACCACATTTAAATATTTATCTGTGCAGGTAATGGACTCTTTCTGCTCCCCAATATCACTCAGACTCTGGAATGGCTGACCAAAAGTCAAAGGGTTCCTGGAAATTAAGAGGATTTTGAAAAGAATTGTTTGCCTGGTGTTAAGGCTAATGCTCTGTGCGTAATGAAGTAGGTAATTTCTAAATTGGACTGTGACTGACCTGTGCTTCCAAGGCTGGAGACTGAGGTAACAAACTGGATCTAACAGGTTTGGGAGAGGTAGCAGCAGCTCTGAGCTCTTAAAAAACCAACCAACCAAAAACCCCAACAAACAAACAAACACACACAACCCACAAAAAAACCCCAAAAAAACAAACCAAAACCAAATCACAGATCACCAGTGAGAAAACCCAGTGCCTGCACGGACATATTGAAGTGTGTACATCAAGGCCTCAAGCTGAACCATCACAGAGCCCAGGCTCCAGGAAATCCCAACAAAACAAGTTTATAACCAGTGGTTGAATCAAAATGAGCAGGCCTCTGTGTGTTTACAGAGATACCTTGCCAACAAAGCAAACAAGCAAAAATATTTCAAACATACAAACCCCAAGATATTATCAAGTGCTGAAAAGTAAGACATAAGAATGAGGTAATATTAAGGTTCTTTACAATAAAATAGCTTCGAGCTGGACAAATGCCTGCCGTTCCACCTGCAGTTCAGCAACAGCATAACCATGGCAGCAACCAGCTCCCCTTCAGCTTCAGAAGTCAACACTCCCTCACACAACTGCCAATGTTTGTTTGCCTAATCACTTTCTCAACCAAATCTGACCCTTTTATTTTTTTTGTGTTGGCTTTCCCTTACTTTTTGACAGAACTGGGTTATGGAATGATTATACACACGATTTGCCAGAACATCCAAGGCAGTAGTACTCTCCAGCAGAGAAACAGGAGCAGCATGTCGTCAAGAATGGTGACTGTCCCAGCTAGGTCACCACAGCCTCTGGTCACTGTAGCTTGGGAGGATAAAAGTTGCAGCAGGCACCTGCACGTCCATTTGCACAGTTCAATTCTCAGCTGAAGTTACTGTATCCTTCCCAAAAGCTCCCTCTATAGACACATTTTCACAACAACTAGTTGTTACGTTGTTACTGTTAAATTACAATAGATGTGGGCTTAGAAGCAGATACATACTCAGTGAACAAGTAAACTATATTTCTTTAACAATTTGTCTTAATTAGAAGAAATTTTCTGAAATTCTAGGCAACAATATTTACAAAAATAAACATCTGTATCTCATGTAAAGAAGGTATTTTCAGTGAAAGTTTGAACACTGAATGCAAAAGCGCTCTTTGCTGACATAGCAATAAATATTTCTAGATCTGAACATTCTATTTTCTCTGAAATCAAATAAATCTGTAAAATGTTTTTCTATTAATTTAATTGTTTGATACAAAATAAGCCAAAAACCAAAGGTAACTATGGAGAGCAAGTCACAAGCTAATAAATCAACAAAATTGTACATATATTTGAGAAATGTCCCCAAAGTAACAGGAAGAAAGTTGATGTCAAAGCTCACCCACCTTGAATTTCCACTGGAAATTCATTTAAGATGGCTTCTCCTCCTG